GGTGGAATTCATTATTTGGACTGGTTCTGGAATTCATTCGGTTGTTTTGAAATCTGGGATTGATTTGTTTCTAAATGTCAAGAATTCTCTCCTGCATTTCTATTGTGTTTGTGGGCGAATTAAGGAGGTCTACCAGTTGTTTGATGAATTTTGTGAAAAGAGAGATTTCACGGAACACGTTAATGGGTGGTTATCTTGGTGCCTTTCAGTATGAAGTGGTTGTGGATTTGTTTAGGAAATTACATAGGGATGGTTATAGTATTGGTGTGACTACAATATTAAATACTTTGTCAGTTGTTAGTGAAATGAGCAATGTTCTCAGAGAGGAACGTCTCCATGGAATTTGCATTAAGATTGGATTTTGTTGGACTTGAGTGTGTTAACTGGCTTGATTTCCATGTATGGGAAACACGGTTATATTGATTTTGCTAGTCAATTTTTCGATGAAATTGAAATTGAAAAGGATATTGTAATATGGAACTGTTTAATAGATGGATATGCTAAAAATGGTCTGTTAAAAGAGGCATTAGAATAGATGGACATATTCTTTCAACGTTTGATCACAATTAGTCTTATAGGTGGACCTATTCTTGAGAAACATCTAAGCAACTTGGCCTAATTCAGATGTATTCTTTCTCTGAACATCAAAGTATCTTTGTGTTTCCCTTGCCCTATGTCATTGATTACGTTGATGATTCAAATAATGTTATTATAGAGAGATATTGGATGCTTGTGTGCACTTGGAAGTGATCTTTTATTTTTGTACGTGTATGAAAAATTCTACTGTCTTCATAGTTTTGGTCCTTTTGGATGTCTAAATGGGTCTATATATGAGCCAATGACATATATTAACTTGGCTTAATGCATTAGGAGTAATAGTTACTGCAATTGAAAGGATTCTAATCCGAGTAAATTTTGTGCTTCAAAAGTTCACTTAATTTGGAGGAGTTGAATGACCTTATCTGGATTTGATGATCACCATTTTATCACGAACAAAGGTCAATTTTGTTTTTGTTGTTGTTATTGTGCATTTGATTCATTCAAGTCCTCGCTACTTACCAGTACTTCTCTATCTTCAACTTTATTTGTTGTCCATGAAGTACTTAATTAAATGTAGTAATGATCTGATATCTAGTCTTCATTTAGTTCAGTGGTTGGTAACAACTTCCATGTTCTTGTTTTATTATACATTTAGTTCAGTGATTGAGTTGAGAGTGCATTTGTTCATTTAAGATTTTATTGGATATTGTTAAACTAGATTTCTTCTAAATAATTAACCTATGAGATGACACTACCACTTGTGGAATTTCTAATCCTGAAAATTTGGAACTGGACACTCTACCAGATTTCTTGATTGCAGTAAGCTGCTTCGCTTACCACTTTGTAATGAACTTAGTTTTGAAAGCTTTTCATAAATTTAACACGCGTGTCATTCGTATCCATTGGTGCCGGACCTGTAGTTTGCATCTCAAGATAGTGCATTTGATTAGCTCAACCAGTTATAAGAACTCAACTGATTCTACCGATGTTTATGGCACCAAAGGGGACGTAATATCAACAACAAACTGCAATTGTAGCTCAAGAAAGTAATACGGGAAGCATTCGTGGACCAGTTCTCAACCTTCTTCATATACCAACTAATACTTCTAATTGCAAATGTTGTAGTATCAAAGTCGTTCATTAAATGAAATGGAGTTGCATCAAAGAATGAAAATGCTTCTATGATTTGTATGCTAAGGGTCAAATGACTATGCGAAGCCAACTGATTGATTTTTAGATATTGACAATATTTGTGATCTGTCTTTTTACTTGTAAGTAGTTTATCTATAATCAAGGAGTAATGTTATTTATTATTACTTATGATAGTCACTGTGTTTAGACGATCAAAATTGTATTTGGCAAGAATTGTGAAAACTAACATGAATTCGATAAATTGATTTCAAAATATTTATTAACATGTCAATATGAGATTAACGCTCCTTTTTTTGCAACTTGATTATGTTTGATTGTGACTTAATGCTAATTATTTATTGTCACAAGTTATGTACAAGGACAAAAGTAAGGATTTGCCAACGTTAATTTAGGTTATGTTTTTTATAGTTGGAAAAAAAAAATTTCAAGATTTACCAACTTCAAAATTTATATGTTATTTAATACTATATTAACATTAAATTATTAAAATTTATTGAATAATCTGATTTCTTGAATAAAATATTATTAAAAAAATTTTCAAAATTTAAAAGTAAACGCGTTTTTCATTTTTATGTTTTCAGAAACAGTTTTTCAGAATGGCAAAAAGAACGCATTTCAGAAATTTCAAAACAGACACTCAAAACACAAAATACAAAATGAATTCAAAACTCAAAACTGAAATACAAAGAGAACATCCCCTAAATGTTTATCAAATTATGTTACAAACACATTTTGTTTGACAAAGAGAGAGAAAGAGAGAGTGTGTGTGTGTGTTATGTTAGCTCTGTTTTATAAAACTTAAAAATCCCAAAGATTCAAGGAGATCAACATTTCAAATATTGAACAATCAATATGCATTTCATTAATAATATTGACCATACATAGGAAATGACATAACAACTCCCCTACTACTTAGGTCATATGATCCAATTTTCAAAATTCAAATAGTAGATAAAGCAGTCTCAACCATTATTGAATCCCTGTTTGACGCACATTAAAATTTTCGTTATTATTTTTCTACTTATTTTCAATCACATATTTCTTCAATATAATTATATTTTTCATCACATCAATAAATTTTCCTTCTTTTTCAACAACACATTCTCCATCAATCTACTATTCTAAAATACATTCTTCTAAAATAATGTGGCTCAAACACATTCTGAGTTATTGGCTTATTCAAAAAGGAAAATAAATAATAAAAATCTAAATAATATACAAACTAAGTTCTTGTTTGGGCTCCATTTTAATTTTAATATTTTTTTATTTCAATCACTTGTTTTTTTAATAAAATAATATTTCATTTAAAATAAAAGATATTTGCTTCTTTAATAACCACACATTATAAAAAAATTATTATTCCAAAATATATTCTTTCCAAAATTACATTTTAATGGAGCCCAAAAAAGGACTAAAACACATTATTAATGGAAAATTTAAAAAGTTAAAAACTGTCATTAAGACATTTTTGGCAAACCACTTTTTGTATTTTATTCATCTAGATTTTAGACGTTCATCGATCAATATGACAGTTTCCAATAAAATTGAAATGCATTTATACACTTTGCGCAATGGGATGGGATTTTGGTGTTACTTTCACTTTTCACGTTTCAGTCATTAGGGTGGAATCTAAAATGCGGCAAACGCTCCTTTACGCTCCTCCGCCAATTAAAATTAATTTAAAAAACAAAGGCGCCAATTTCGCTCTGTACTCCCGCGCCTTTCTCCTACGCCGCCCCGCTCTTTATTTCTTACCCCACCCCAACCGACCCGAGCTGCCTATACATACACGTGTATATATGCACATACACACATATATATAGCAATAAACAAGATTACACACATATATATATATTGGTGGTGCATAATTCGTTTAGCTGTGTAAAGTATAAATCGAAAATGCACCGCCACCAACCCCACCCAGCCACCCCCATCACCGACGCCGACGCTGCTTTCCTTATAAAGCGTGGCAAGAAGCGGGGAAATTACTCTTGTGGAAAATGTGGGTTGTCTAAAAAGGGGCACACTTGTCGGTTTACTGAAAATGATAAAGACTTCAGTCCCGCTTCCACACCCGCCGCCGCCGCCTCCTCCATCACCGTTACCTACTCGGCGTCTGTGGAGGAGTCAGTGGCTTTGATGTCACCTCAATCGGTAGTTCGTCCTCCTCCTACGAGGCTCCGGCGAGCTCTATCGTTTGAGGATATTAGTGTTGATGACTCGGTGGTGGAGGATGTCAGGGACGAAATTGAACCGGGAATGGATATGTCTGTTGATGTTTCAGGGTCGGGGAAGTTGCCCGGGAGTTGTTTGTGGGAGGTGCTAAGGAGGCTACCGCCGGCGGGATTGTTGTCGGCGGCGAGGGTTTGTAAAGGGTGGAGAGATATTACTAGGAGGTTTTGGCGGGCAGCAGAGGAGATCCGGCTTAGGGTTCCATCCAGTGCTCAGATTGGGTTTTTTGGATCCATGTTGCAAAAGTGTCCTGGACTTCTAAGACTGTCTCTTAGGATGGAGAGGTTAGAGTTTATCTAAGCTGATAGTCAGATCTAGGTTTTATTGAATGGATCGCCTTAAAACTCACCCATCTACTCAGTAATTCACTGTTTTATTGAAGAATTTAATTAATTATACTTATTATTGAAGATTCAATGTAAATGTTTTCCACAAGGTAGTTTATCCAAGAACGCTGACCACAAACTGCATAATCAAATGTTCAATCTATATTTGGGATCTGAAAATTTGGCTTTAAAATGAAATGCACTGATAATAGATCAAGAAAACATTGATTAAACATTTGACAGGAAAAATAAAGTACGGATCTTTTGTTCACTTTTGCTTTTGGTGTTACAGTGATGTGGATGCAACGATGCTGGCCTGCATTGCATTTTCCTGCCCTAATCTGCAGTCATTGGAGATTTTTATGTCTGGTACCTCGGCCAATCGAATCACTGGGTATTAACTTTAAACCTTCAACAGTGATATATACTTCTGTTTATGTTTTAATACATGTACATGTCCATTAGTCATAGATCTTTTCTTTTGTTATGAAATTCAGAAACATATCACTGTATTTGATAGGTGAAGCATATAGTTAGTGCATTGTGTAAAATTTGTATCTCTTAGTTGACAGACACATTCCTTTTTGTGAGATCTTTATGTACAAATGAGTGAATATAAATACAACTGCTCCTTGACCTTGACACACATTCCTTTTCTGATCTTTTAATGAGTGCTAATATAAATCTAGACACACATCATCATGTGGAATTGCATGGTGATGTACATGTGGTGGTCGTTAATTTTAGATAGCTGCCTGTGAAACACCAGTGATTTGCCCCTGAAATATGTTTGTCTATGTTGGGGTAGATGTTGAAGTTTCTCTAGTTTAAAGGAAATTTGAACTTGCAAAGTATTGAAATACCAGCTGCTCTTTATTTAGTTATAGTTCTTTTAGGCCAAGGTATTTATTACAATAAAGAATCCAGGAATACAATAGATCAAGAACCTATCAAACTATTACAATCAAGAATCAACCAATGGCATCGTAGTATTGATAAAAAATGGGGCTCGGATCATTGTACCATTTTGTACAAGCCAAGACCACAAAATACCCAAACCCTAAAAGAAAAAGTGATGCTACTTCAATGAGCTAGTAGTAATCACCCAAAGATCACTCTCCTTTTCTCCTCTCACTCACCCATAAATGAACACCACAAAAGATTACTCAAAAAACAAAATGAGTTTAATAGAAGTGAAAAGAAGAAAACCAATAGACGGTATCACTCAGAGAAAAGAAGAAGGCTCGAAAAGAATGAAAAGTCAGATGTCAGATTAGGGCAACAGTGCAAGTCCCTTTATGTAGCCCCACACACCAACCATTCATCTTAGATGATCATCAGCAGCTCAGAGCAACTGAAATTTTATGCATTAAGAGGAAACACTAAAGTTGCACTTACAAGATGCGACTTTCCTTATAGGTTTGAGTTTTGGCCCCTGAACTTGGGTTATCAGGCAATGGATTATAGAATCTGCAAATGGGCCTAGCCCAGTTTCATTATTGCCCACATATTGGACTGAATACCTTGGCATCACAGCCCAATTGTATTTAGTAAGCAACTGATTTTTTATACGTGTAATTAACTCAAAGTTCATTAGAAAATTTTCTTTCCTTAGAGCACAGAAGATTTGTAAATCTTTAGAAAACTAATCTTTCGAATCTCTTATAAAAAAATGGGCTGTTATTTTGTTCTTCACCGATACCGTAGATGGCTTAGTTTGTCATAGGATATTGTTTTTGTTATATAATTGTTGTGAAACTAAACAAGTTTCAAACACATGACCTCATGCAGGGATGAGTTAAGCCGTTTTATTGCTGAGAAAAGATGCCTAACCAGTCTCAAAATGGAGGGCTGCTGTAACCTTGGTGGTTTTAGTTTTTCTTCCTCCAGTTTGTCTACTGTTTGGCTTTCAGATCTTCACTCCCTCTCTAAGGCGGTATTGCACTTCTCACCATGTTCTGAGTTTGCGACCACTTTTATTTTCTGATTTGATTATATATTATTCTTGATGGCGTTTCACCCGGTGCCCAGGTTTTCAACTGCCCGAATTTGAAGGAGATTTCCTTGAGTTTTTCTCGGCAAGAAAATGATAAAACTGACCTTACCACAATTGTTGATGGCTTGGGAAGAAGCTGCCCAAAGCTACAGAACATCCACATTGCTTCAGTTCGGCTTTCACATTCTGTGGTGCTTGCTCTTACAGCTGCAAATTTGAGGTCAGAATTACTGTTTGTATGCGATTCCATGAGCGCTTCCTTATAAAAATTAAAAGTAGGAGATTTGCAAAGTTTATGATTATGAAGAAAATAAAACAATGATTGGGAGTTTGATTAAAAAATTCACCATGTCCATATTCAGGGGATTGCGAATGCTTTCTCTTGTACTAGGATCAGAGATGTCTGATGCATCAGTTGCAGCTATTGCTTCAAGCTACTCAAACCTGGAGTTGCTTGATTTGAGTGGGTATGTTTCAGGCCTTAGTGCTGGTATTGTTATGAGTATTGAATATGGAGTTGAAAATTTCAATTGTCTGAGTTCCAATTTTCTTCTGGCAATGTGAAGTCTATATAATAGATTCTACTTTAGATTTGCTCAAGGAAAACTATGCTGAATGTGGGAGTTCCATATTTATTTTTACTTAGCTGAGAAGTGAAATGTTCCCTCAATGCTATGCTTTATTTCAGATCTAGCATCAGTGACAGTGGCATTGGAATGATCTGCAATGTATTTGCCCGAACACTATCAAAACTACTTCTTGCTCTCTGTCCCAACATCACTTCGAGTAATCTTTTAATCCTGTTATGAAACCTTTAAGTTCATCAATTTTGTATAACATGTCTGGTTAACTTTTATGCCTTCTGGATCTTTAGGTGGCATTCAATTTGCCGCTGCTCAACTGCCTCATCTGGAACTAATGGATTGTGGAATGACCATATGGGATCACAATTCAGAAATCCTCACCAATGAGGAAAATGATGAGGAGTTACATAAAACACCCAACAGCAAGTTGCATATTGTACACCAGAAGTTAATTATCAAACACAGCAGGTTGACGAAGCTCAGCTTATGGGGTTGTTCTGGCTTAGATGTAAGATTGTTTTTGTTTAAAGAGTTCTGTGTTTGACATGAGTGTTGGTCCTTTTCATTACTTTTATTGTGTTCTGAATGAAGAGAAGTTTCATTGCAGGCATTGTATTTGAATTGCCCTGAACTTGATGATTTGAACCTCAACTCTTGTGGAAATTTACATCCAGGTAGATACTTTTAATGTTCTTGCAGCGCAATCCAAAATACTGAAGTGTTTTCTGTTAACTTAAGTTCGATAATTTTATTTCATTTGACCCTAGAGAGATTACTCCTCGATTGCCCCAATTTGGAAAGTGTGCACGCATTAAGCTGCCAAGAAAAGTTGGTCAAAACCATTCAGAATCAGGTAAATGGACAAACTAATCATTTCTCAGCTTTAATTAATGTCCCTTTTAATCATGTCCTACAGCAGCAGAATTATTTTTCTCCCTGTAACTTCTGGAGATTTTTTCATTGATATGCATACCATCCCGCAAATTTGAAAAGTGAACATTAATAGTTTACTGATTCTGTTCAAAATGACTGCATAACATGCAATCTATCCTCACGTTTTCAAATGACAAGAAGCAAAGCATTCTGAAATTTTAGCTAAACTCAATTTATTGTAGTAATTGATTAAATTTAGTTGGAGCGACTGAGAAATGTTACTTGGCATTCTGCCTGACGTATATATATAACTAAAGCCATTTGTGACTTGTGTGTATAATGTGCAGGTCTCCAACAATTTTGGAGCCCTTGAAAATCATTTTCCTTCCAAAAGTGGCTCCAAAAGAGTCCGGGTCCCACATTTATTCAGCCCTCAGGTAAAACTTTCAAGCTCAGAAACAGGGAGAAAGTGAACTCTTTATATTTGTTTGGTTTATTCTGTGTACGCTGGAATGATAGAATTAGAGGAAGTACATAATGAAAATGAAGTAGAGTTGACTTGCATTCCGCAGGCGCAGGTATGTGATGATGAGATGAAATGGAAGGCTAGGAAGCGTCAATGTGCTGTGATTGTGGAGGCTGATGCCCGTGAATACAACACAATTTGTTCTTACTGAATAGTGACTTAGTGTCCTGAATTAATATTAGTTTATTAGGATTAAATGTCTCGTTCAATGTGGAGGAATACTACGATTGATATTGAGTCTTTATTGTACTAACAAATACTTGTTTATTTTATAAAATAATCTCTCTCGAGTTTGAAAACGATCTTAAGGTAAATGAGGAAAAGGTCAAGTTAAAGAAAAAAAATTTATATTTTTTCTAATATACCTATCTTTACATAATGATTTAAAAATGAGTATTTTATATTTGTTGATAATAAGGTATATTAAAAAGTTAATAAATAAATTATACTTTCAATAAATAAAGGAAAAATTGCAGCAACGGTTTCAAACCTTTTGAGTTTTTTATAGATTTTATCTCAACTTTAATTTGTACTATTGGAGATCTTAAATTTTTGAAAAATAAGCACTTGGGGTTCAATTCATTTGGTCGTTAGTTGGCTAAAAAAAAGTCTTTTGATCAAATTTAATGAGGGCAAAATGGTAAATTCGTCATTATTCCACCTGAAATAATTAAAACCAAAACAAAAAAAATTAAAAGGAACATAGAACTGTTCATCTTCTTCAACCTACCCCATGCCCCTCCACGCCACCATACCCCAAATCCCATACCTCCCCAACCCAGCACAATTCAACTCTCAAAATGTGGCGGTAGCTGGAGAGCACTATTACGCTCTCTATTAATCCTAAATGGCAATAGGCTTGTCCCAAAACTAAGTATTGAAAGGAAAGTTTTTTGACAAAAGGGAATCCGATTCAATTGGACTATTTGAAGCACAATTAAGTAGCACTGCATATCAGCTCCTGGGCATGGCATATTTAGCCTTTTTACCTAAGTTTTTCTCCTGTCGATCGAAATGGTTCAATACTCCATGGGTGGTGTTAAGGGATATATATCCCACATCAATAAATGATGTTGACACAGATCAATTAATAAAAATCTTGAGCTACTCCTTTCAACAAGGTTGACATTTTAAGATGGAATCCCAATTCTTAATATGGTATCAGAGTCCATTATGCTCCAACGAGCGATTCGATCCCATTAAAACTCCAAAAGTGAGCACGTAGATTTAAAGATTGGTCTGCTCAAATGAGCCACCATCTTGCGGGGCATGTTAAGAGATATATATCCCACATCGATAAATGATGTTGACACAGATTAATTAATAAAGATCTTGGGCTACTTCTGTTAACAAGGTTGACCTTTTAAGATGGAACCCCAATTCTTAATAGGTGGGAATATTGTTATCAACTGTCGTTGCATTGGGTATTTCTTATATGAGTTACAGGGTGCTATTGAAGCTGTCGACTGTGGTGCTTATGTGCGTAATTCCGATTGCATTTTTGGTGGTTATAATGGCTATAGCAACCAGCAAACTCTTTCACAACGAAATGCCTGTGGACTGACGACGACGATGAGTGGTGGTGGGCGTGGAAGAAGGCAGCGATGGTGCTCAGTTGATTTGGTTTTGATTTTGTGGTTGGATTAGGTTAGGGGGATAAGGATTGGTTTAGGGGTGGTATGGTGGGGTGGCGTGGGGTTGAGGAAGATGAACAGTTCTATATTCATTTTAATTTTTTTCTTTTTGGTTTTAATTATTTTATGTGGAATAATGTTGAATTTACCATTTTGCCCTCTTTAAGATTTGGTCAAAAGATATTTTTTTAGTCAACTAACGGCTAATCCATCCATTTGGACTTCGAGTGCTAATTTTTCAAAGGTTTGGAATCTCTAGTGGTACAAACTGAAAGTTGAGGTAAAGTCTGCTAAAAACTCAAAGGCTTGGGACCGCTGCTGCAATTTGTTAGCCCAAGAATAACTAACCAAGAGGGGAGTGAATTGGTTTTTGAAACTTTTTCGACACTTAGTCTCAAAACAATACAATACACAAGATATGATTGCAAAACATAATACTAGAATTAAATATGCAAGTTCGATAACTTAATTCAAGTATGAATATAGTACAATATAAATGACA